CCCAATGGATAAGCTGGGACTCTCTGAAGAAGAACCTGGGTTCCCTTATGATCAATGCCGGGACTCCCCAGACGGCCCCGCCAGCAGGCGAGGGGATCAAGGCAGTTGCTGGGCATGAGCCAGAGGACACAGGCTACCAAGGAGACAGACTGAACTCATATCACCCTGCTTGGCCCAGAGATGGCTAGTAGTCAACGACGGGTAAGACTCCACAGGATGGAGCGACCTAAGACAGGCACAGTCGAGGGCCAGTAGGAGAAAACTTGGGGTGGAACAAAGGTGGGGCACAGATCCTCACACCCCCCAAAGGTGCAGGGGCTTGAACACTCGCCCCTTCTGAGGAAGGTCTCCTGTCCCCATGGCTGCTTCTTGCTTCCCATGCCCAGCCCAAATCAGGAACCAAAAGAAAGAAGAGACTTGGTCCAGCTGAAATCAGAATCCAGATAGATGGAGGCTTGGCTAACAGACCCTATGTCTAAATCTAGCCTAACAACAGGAATGCTCAGAGCCTTCACAAGGATGCAAAGTGATCCTTTTTCATTAATATTTACAGTGTAAATTAAGATTATTGTTAAAATATTAAATTTGACAGCAAAATAGTTTTCAAATTAATTAAAGTCAAGTTTTCAAATTAATTAAATTTAGCTAATTTGAAATAAGTAATTGTTCAGAAGGTATTAACAAAAATTTTCATTTTGTGGTAAAATTGCTTATGCTATGAACCTAAAGCAGTCATATTTTTGTGCAAAAAATTAATATTTAAAGCTATCTAGACTGCATTATAAAATTTCCAAAAGCCTTCTAATTAAATCAAAAAAAAGGGGGATAGTGGAAAAATATAGTGGAAAAATGCCATGTAAGGAAATAGATCCTGTAACTAAATTACATATAGAGAAAAAATTTTTTCGTTTATAATGCTAATAGTGAGACACCTGGGAAAAAACACACATGATGCCAGGGTAAGCCAGGGAAAGATCATTTTAAAGAAAAGACCCCAAGTAAGGTTTTTTCCTTTACCTTTGGTCGAGAATGTTTGTATACTTTCAGAGAACAGCTACAAGACCATGTGCTTTCCTGTAACAACGGATCCCAGAAAGCCAGCCACAAAGACAGTTCAGAGATGGAGATGGTGGAAGACGCCTTGCCATGCTAGCAGTCAGCAGCTGTGCGTCGCTGCAGCGTGCCCAGGACCAGACCAGAAAGGACCGGACCTGCATTTTCCACCATCCAGAACCAACATTTCATTGCTGGCATGTACACATGAACTTTTGGACATTGAAACTTGGACTCAGAACTTTTGGACATTGAAATTGGGACTTGATTATTTTTTAAAGAAAAAATAAGGGGGAGATGCCGGAGTCCATTCATTGTCTTCACTAGCTGAGTTTAAACAGAGACCCCCAAAAGCTAGTAACCTTTGAAGTCCTAGCAAAGGTCAGAATTGCACCACCCAGTTAATCTAAGAACCACCCAGTTAATTTAGGTAATAATAGCTGAAGCATCCCCACCTTAGTTCCCTTAATTCCCATTTATTATTATGTAAATCCTTGCTGATGGGCTAGTCTGCCTGTTAATGGGGTCACCTGCCTAAGGGCTATGCTATGAGTGCATCCCAGATCAATAAAAGCTTGGTGAGACCTAAGCATAGGGAGGAAGTCCTTCGGGACTTGCCCGCCTGGTCCCCCAATATTGCAAAATTATCTTGTGTCTTTTTCTTTCACTTGTGTGCGGCTCCTCTTTCAGATACCGAACCCTACTCCACGCAGAACGTGGAGGGAGTGTTAATCGACAATCTAGACAGACTCTCCTAATCCCTAGCGTGAGTGAGCAACCTCTCCCACAAGACCTCACCTGCATCACTGTTATTGCCTGTATTACTCTCCATGCCAATGAGTGAATGAATACAGTGATATGGTACATGCTGGACCTCCCATGCATAGCTGGTGGGCTGTGCTCTCCACTTTATGGCAGTGTGGTATCAGCCTTCCCTAGTGACACGAAGGTCTCTGAAAGGAGCAGGGAGTTCTGGTTTCTGTTTTGTTTTCAATGCCTAGTATAGTACCTGGTTTTTATTTTATTTTATTTTATTTTATTTTATTTATTTTTTTAAAAAATATATTTTATTGATTTTCTACAGAGAGGAAGGGAGAGAGATAGACAGTTAGAAACATCGATGAGAGAGGAACATCCATCAGCTGCCTCCTGCACATCTCCATCTGGGGATGTGCCCGCAACCCAGGTACATGCCCTTGACCGGAATCGAACCTGGGACCTTTCAGTCCGCAAGCTGACGCTCTATCACTGAGCCAAACCGGTTTCGGCAGTACCTGGTTTTTATTTCTTAAAAATACCTGTGAAATAAACACAACTATAATAAAAGTAAAATGGGGTAAGTTCCATTTTAAAAAAGACAAGAATATTCTTGAGATTCCTGCAAGACCCAGCAGGCTGCAAATAGTTAGCAAGATCTGAGATAGTATAAAATTAACTAAAATAACAATGAAACACCAGAGGAAGAAAAGAAGAGAAAACCAGCCAGAGAAAGCAGCACTTCCTTTTTATTAGACTCACAATGCCGTTCTGAAGCCCAACCTCTCTCTGTAAAATGCGTCTTTCTTATTAACGTCCCATTGGAAAGCAGACAGACTTAGTCTGCACTGTATCTCTGTGGTGCACCATCAACCAGTCCAGCATCTCACAGAAGAGCTCTGTGGAAGCTGTCCGTGATCAACCAGCCTCCCTCCTTCACACACACACACACACACACACACACACTCTTAAATATGTGCACACATACTCTTTTATTTTTTTACAAAAATAATATAACAGGTTTACACAGATCTATTAAGTCTTTAAAGTTTCACAGCAAGGCCTATGCTTCATTATAAGCATTTTTTACTTTGGATTAAAGTGGGAACTCTAGGCCTAAAAATAGATTTAAAATTACTGAACAAAGGCCCTATACAACACAGACATAATAAGTATTGATCATCAGACAACTAGAAGTATTCTGTGGTTGTCCTTATGCTAGTCCTACTCCATATCCCCATCAATTATTTTCATTTTAACTAAAATACAAAAGTAAAATAGTTCACTGAAATAATCTTCTATTCATTACAATAGCATATACACCAAATTATACTAACTGCATGATAATCTCTATGTACCAAGACTGTATTTTTGTTATACTTCATTAGAGATGGTATCCAACTATCAACCACACAAAAGGAATGCATACTGAACTACAAGGGAAGGAGAGAACAATAATTTTCAGGCTATCTTTTTACATGGCACCCAAAACAAAACAAGTAAGAGAAGCCTTACAAGATACTAGTAGGTATCAAACTAATTTGCAGTGACATTTAATATAGTCTTATCAGAAGGAATACATTTAGGTCATATATGGAAAAACACATATCTATGTGAAACTCTAGGATTTCTCCTAGAATATTAAAAATGCTCATCGAAAGTTAATTAGCATAATAAAAATGGTGACCAGGTGATTGAATAAACAGAATGCCATTTAATATATTAAAAACACAGATTCTGGGAATAGATTCTACCTCCCAAACACCCAGAAATCTGAGTTAACAGATTCTCTACTTTGCATACTTGATACTAATAAAAATAAGAAGTGTTTGCACAGACTATAAATGCAAGGCAACAGCCTAAGGGACAGTCACAGAAAGAATAAATGAACACAATCTTGAACACAACAGAGTGAGTACAGAGAGCTCCTGCATTTTTTGGTCCCCAACCCCACCCCAAGGGCCATCTCTTTGGGGAAGAAATCTTTCAATAGTTCAAGCCCATGACCTCGGACCCCACAAGCTACTACCCTTCCCAAGCTTGGCACCAGAAAGTCTTTCAGATGCCAGTACGACGCTTGATCATTCAACTGGACAGGCCCTCTTCATGCCTCCCAGGTTCCGACCAGCACAACCTCCTTCCCACAGAAGGGGTCAGCACTGGCTTTGAAGTCACAATGGGGTGGCCCAGGAAGAACTAGAAGAAGGAGGTATCTGATGAAAAAGCGCCGGCCAGTCGGAAATCCTCTTTGGTGAGAACACTGTACATGCGCTGAGCAGAGCTCTGGAGTAGGGGGCCGGGCGGGGCACGGTGGTGCGCAGAATGAGTTCCCGACCAGCAGAGGGTGGGAAGTCTGACACAGAGTTCTGCCTTCTCTCCTCTGCAGAGCCCATTCTCTTCAGTTCCTCCTCAGGTGGAGCCATGGCTGCAGCCTTGAATAGAATCAAATGCTAAATTCAAGATCAAGTTGGTGCTAAACTTACATCACTATGAAGGACAGATGAATAAACATGATAAATACAGAAAAATGTTCTACATTATTCAGTAATGTTGTCAATTATGTTATGACTACTCGAGAACACAACACAGAAAATACAAGAGGTTTGAAACACGACATGAGCAGTCAGAGATCACAAATAAATTGGTGAGAGAGACAGAAGGGATACTGGCTACCGGGCAATCTGTTTCGAAAAGTGGGGGCCATATTCAAACATCCGATGAAGAGGGGAAATGTGCTGGTTTCTGTGTTTCTTCTAGCAAAGACCCAAGAGAGTCTGATGTCCTCTGTCAAGCAATGGAGTTGGTTCTCACAGAGGCTAGAAAGGTGTTTTTTTGCTGGGTTCTAATTCTTTTTAAGGTTCACTGGTCGAATTAAAACTGGGGATAGTGGTATTGTTAGCTGGGCAGCTAATGTGAGGTAGTAGTGAGGTCTATGTAATGTAGCAATGGCAACGAAAGAGAAGTTCTCAATATCAAAGGCATCTATTTTCTCATTAAAATTGCATAAAATACATATTCAATTAGTCTTCATTTTAACTCTGATCACTATAGTTGTTTCATTTCTCTGATCACTGTATTTCTTTCAGAATACCCCTGATTTGGAAAAAAAATTTTTGGCAATGGAAATATGAAACTATGTTATACAAGAATCACCAAGAAAGGTATGTCAAATCCAAACTGTTAAAGTGGTCATTAGTCTTAATGATCTCACGAAGTTAGAGGGAGGGGAAGGAACAAGAAACTATGAGGGACAAGGCTGTTTGTTACCTCATCAGAAGATTCAGTCAGCTTGAGAAAGGGTGAGAAAAGAAACAGTGATGAAAGGGAAACAAAAACAAGCAAGATGGTTTTAAAAAGAGACAAGGAATTTCAAGATTATTTCAGACAGCATGCACTATATTAAGGAACATGATTCTATCAAAAGAATTATCAAGACAAACATACAACACACCTAGTTATCAAACTGAGCAGACATACCCACTACTCATGCATCTGGTGGATCAACAGGTGATATACAGAATGTCATTTAATGAGAAAATGATTTAACAAAAATCTACCACTTTCAAAAAAGTAAGTTTTTATTGATTTTTTTTAAGAGAGAGAGGAAGGGAGAGGGATAGAGAGATGGAAACATCAATGAGCGAAATATCATCTATCGGCTGCCTCCTGCACACCCCCTACTGGGTGAGGATCAAGCCCATAACCTGAGCCTGTGCCCTGACCAGGAATCGAACCAGTGACCTCTTCATTCATGGGTCGATGCTCAACCACTGAACCATACTGGCCAGGAAAAGAATCTATGAGTTTTACTGAAAAATTAAGATGCTAAGAAAATGTGTTCATGTCTTGAAAAATAGATAATCCAATAGATTTAAGGAAAGGTCTCAGAGTTATTCAATTTAGCAAGAATGAAGCAAAATCAAATCAGTGGTTTATTTGCTGAATCCATTTACGTATATACCACTGAAACATATAATCATGAAGTTAATTAAAATGTATGGTTTTTTTTTCCCTCTAGCCGGTTTGGCTCAGTGGATAGAGTGTTGGCCTGTGGACTCAAGGGTCCCGAGTTTGATTCTGATCAAGGGCATGTACCTCGGTTGCAGGCTCCTCCCCAGCTCAGGCCCTGGTCAGATCTTGTGCAGGAGGCAACCAATCGATGTGCTTCTCTCACATTGATATTTCTCTCTGTCTTTCCCTCTCTTCCACTTTCCCTAAAAAAAAAACAACAAAAAAAAAAAACATGGAAAAATATCCTCAGGTGAGGATTAACAAAAACAACAACAACAACAAAAATGTATTTTTTTTTTTTTGGTTAATTCTCACCAATGGATATTTTTTCCATTGATTTTTAGAGAGAGTACAAGGGGGGGGAGGGAGGAGAGAGAGAAAAGCATCGATGTGAGGGAGACACACTGATTGGTTGCCCCCTGCACCTGCCTGGACAGGGGCCAGGGAGTGAACCTGAAACCCAGGTACATGCGCTCAATCAGGAATTGAATCCACGACCCCTTGGTGCTCAGGCAAACACTCTAACTGCTGGGCTAGACTGGCCAGGGCTAAAATGTATGAATATATAAAATTACTGTGTGCCTATATTAGTAAACTGATATACAATGTCAGTTATGAAAAAAAAAGTTACATGAATAAACTTGAATGGTTTTCATTAGCCAGGCATTTAAGGACTGAGTTTAGAAATGTACCAACCAAGTGCTTGTTTTATGGATTAGTCTGCCAATTCCCTGAAACATTCACCACAAGGTATGGAAGTTTGAAATCTTTTACAATTACATAATGTGGGATGAATGAACAATTTCAGATTGGCTATATGATGAGGCCCTGAAAAGATGATACACTCTTATAGTTATTGATGTAAAAACATAATTATATTGTGTAGACAACAAGAATAATAAATTATATAATACTAGAGGCCCAGTGCATGAATTCGTGCACAGGTGGGGTCTGGCTGGCTGGGAAGAGGGGATGTGGGAGGTTGGTCAGCTGGCCCCGCCCCCTGGTTGAACTCCTAGTCGAAGGGAAAATTTGCATATTAGCCTTTATTATATAGGACTAGAGGCCCGGTGCACGAATTCATGTCTGGGTGGGGTCCCTCAGCCTGGCTGATGATTGAGGCCTATGGGGGGGCCGGCTAGCTGGAGGGGCTGCAGGAGGTTGGCTGGCTGGCCGGGGCCATGAAAGGTTTGCCAGCCAGGTGGAGGGGCTGCGGGAGGTTGGTTGTGGGAGCGCACTGACCACCAGGGGCAGCTTCTGTGTTGAGCGTCTGCCTCCTTGTGGTCAGTGCACCTCACAGCGACTGGTCGAATAGCTGTTCTGTCCTAACGGTCATTTAGGCTTTTATATAGATAGATAATCCTATTTTTCTAAAATATACATATATTTGCATACACTACTTGTTAAATAGCTACTACTTCCAAAGATAAGAATAATGTTACTGAAGACAACTGCATACTTCTGTCTTCAATAAGGGTTAATATTCTCATATCCCCCATCCCCACTTCCATATGTAATGCATACAAATTAATAAAAACTACCCGTCAATCATACCACCTAGAGATAGAATTTTTAATGGTGGAACATTTTCATTCCAGAATTTTTCAAAATATCAAGTACACATAACATTAAATGAACTAATATTAAGTGTCTAAAATACTGTTTGTGACCTATTTTTCTCACTTATTATTTCTAAACATTTCTAGTGACCCTCCATTGATTTTTTTGGGGTTGGTTTTTTTATTGTCTTTTTTTTTCTAAAGTGGAAATTGTTTTACTTTTCTGATTTAAAAAATACAGCATTCTTATCATGCAGATTGACTCTTCTTTCTGTGGGGGTAGAGGGTCCGGGTGACATTACCTCACTGGTGCTTGGCCAGAATTCCATACTGGCTGATTAAGATTATGTCTTTGGGAGAGGTTAAAACTGCAACAGATAAAGGTATTAACCAGGTTTGATGTCACTGGCTGTTATGTAGCACTAGTGATGCCATTTTCTTCCTTTTTTAAAATTTTCTTGGATTGCAGTT